TAATTTATTTGCTGATAATGTTTATATTCAAACTAATGGAGCATTAAGAAGCAATCATTTAGCACCTAACGGAGGAACATTAATAACCGTTGATACTAACTTAGCAGTTCAAAATGCATATTTAGCAACTAATACCATTCAATCATTTGATTTAACAACGGTTTCATTTTTGAATAATATTTCAATGACTACTGGAACTGATATTAAAATGGGAACATCGGAAATATCAACTTATTATGATGGAACTAATTTATCTACAATTGATGTAATATTCAGAACATCAAACACAGCTTTTAGAGTTTCAGATAGTTCAACTACACCTTCAGTTTTATGATCTATTGATAAGACATTTGGAACAACAGTAAATACTGAAAGTTTTACAAATAATGCTCCATCAACTTTTAACGAAAATGTAACAGTTGCAGGAACGAAAAAATTGTTATGTAACTTAATTGAGCCAGCAACAGGGACAAATATAGATTTAACAGCAACAACCGTAACGATTAACGGAACATTTGTGGACTCATCTGATTCACGATTAAAATATGATATAGACAATATCAAATCTAATTGTATGAATATCATTAAGAAATTTAAACCGAAGAAGTTTAAGAGACACGATAGAAATGATGACGGTAAAACTCATATAGGTTATTTAGCAGACGAAGTATTAAGAGCAATTCCTAAAGAATTTGAAAATGTTGTTAGTAAAGACAGAGAGTATTTAGGATTGAATTATTTAGTTTTACCCGTGTTAGTTCATAAAGCAGTATTAGAATTAAATGATAAAGTAGATAAACTTGAGAAAGAAATTAAGGAATTGAAAAAATAGAAATCTAAATAAATAATTAAATATAAATATATAAATATATAAACAAGTAAATAAATATATAACTAAATAAATATCTATTATATATAGATATATGGACATTGACAGGAAAGTTAAAATAAAAGTATTATTTCAAAATAGTAGTATGAGAGAGAAACATTGCTATTGTGGTTGTATAATTACTAAGTTAAATAAAGATGAATTTACATTAGATAAATGTAATAATAAAGAATGTAATTTTAGTCATTCTAAATTTGATGAATATATTAAAGAATTAAAAAAACAAAGGAAAGAAGAGAAATTCCACAGACAAATAGATAAGTATGGTAAGGTATTAACTCCTATTGCTTGGGGATTGTTATGGCCTATTTTAATTCCTTTGAATATTTATTATTGTATTATAATCTAAATAATAATATATAATGGGTAATTCGAACAGTAATGTTGAAACTTCAAGTATTGATAAAATTAATGATATTGATGTAGAACAATTAGATTTAAGTAATATTGATAAATTACAGTTAAAAGCAATTAAACAAATGAGTGAAAGATTAGAGAAACTGGAGACAACTAAATGTGACAAATTAATATATAAATTACCAGCATTGAATTTGTGTAGTTATAGTTTGTTCTGAATTAATAACATTAAGCCATAGGCTTAATGTTATTAATCAAAAACAAATAATAAAATTTACTAATAAAACTTTGTCTTTCATCATTGATGACTTTAATAGTTTTTTTTTTCACTTGTAATGAAATAAAATTAACCATATTATGACTATACACTAATTTAGTTCATGAAGGTCTTTATTAAGAAAATAATAAATATCAAATAAATTAGTTGATGTTAAAGTACGATTACGAACTTGCGTCAAACATTTAAATGAAGTAGATGTAGCAAGTATCTCATATTCAATTAATAATTTTAATGGTTTATGTTTTTGATGTAATTTACCTAAGTCACTTAAATTAAAAATATATGATATACCATTATTAATATTGATATTATCAATTTCAAAATATTGCATACTATTTAATTTGTAAGACTTATACACTGGTTTAAATTTATTAATATAATTTCTAATAATATTTATTTTTATTATTTTTTTTAAAAAAATAATCTAACATCACCTAAATTATAAGATAATACAAGGTTTTTAATATCTAATGGTAAATCATAAAATATCATATAATATTAATATATTTATTTATTTAATTAGTAATTTTCAAATATTGAGAAAACTTTTTCATAAACATTTTATCTGGGTTCTTTTCTAAAAGGTTAATATATAAAAAACTATGTGGTTCATCAGTGGCGGTCTCATATATTTTATAAATTAGTTTCTTGCTTTCGTGTAAATTATCGCTTCTAACAATTGCCGATAATTCATCTTGCAATATTTCTATCTCTTTAAAATTTCTAACTTTATAATAAAACAAATGACTTATATTTACCCTAATAATTGGTGGGACACTTGATGATTTCTGAAGACTGACAAGCGTTGATATTCCACTATGACGTCCCCTACAGAATAAAGAATTTAACAATTTGTTATTTCTTGTTATTGCTGGGTTATCAGATACATCATCCAATATAACTAATATATTAAATAACTTCTTCATTCCTTGTTTTTTCTGATATTCAATTATTTTATTTTGAGTTTCTATAACTCTTTCTAAATCTTCAACATTGAACTCATCCCACCAACACGGTTCTTTATCAGTATCTACTTTCAAACCTTCTTTAATGTATTTTTTGACAGGCAACCAAATACTATCCAAATTTACAGATGGGGACCAGATAAAAACTCTTTCAAATGCTCCTCTATAAATATCAAGTATCATTGATACAAGTAAAGTTGATTTTCCAGAACCAGACGGACCTACAATCATAGCTCTCATCGGCAATTTAGGGACGACCTCGTGCTTACTTTGCTTAAAGTCATATTTGATTTCATCAATTGGTTTTACATCAGGCATAATAAAAGTAATATCAAAGACATTTAGAAAATAATTTAATATTTATTGTTTTATATGAATAGAAGTTATTCAGATTATATTGATATAATAGATGAAGTAGAGAATATAGAACAAGTTGTTATAACTAATAATATATGTAAACAAACATGTTATTTTGTTTTAGAATTAATTAAGTTTGTTATACAATATATCAAAAATGAAAATGTGAATATTAATATAAATGGGAAAAAAGAAAAAGAATAAGACTGAACCAGTTGTTTCTTCAACTGATGAAGAAAAAGAAGAAATTGTTAAAGAAACATCAGTTATTGAGTTTGCTTGTCCAATGTGTCAAAAGATGTTAGAAATGAAGAATGAATTAGAAATACAAAAGAAAGGAAACTGTAAATGTTCGTGTATTCCAACAAGTTTCAAAATAAGTAAGAATGATAAGAAAATGAATATTGATAAAACTAAAGACAGTATAAACTTAGAAACAGATGTTCATAATATTGCTATCAAATGGGGAAGGCATGCATCACCATCCGATAATGGTGATAAGGAAACTCAGGAAACTATACGTGAAATGATGAAAAAATAGTATTTAAAGAGTAGATTTAACATAATTGCAACATTTAGTGTTAAAAGTTTAGTTTTATAATTTAGTATATATTTACATGGATGAAGGATTAGATAAGATTGTTAAAAAACTGAACAAGGTTTTAGAACAGAATAAGAATATTTTAGAAATCTTGCAAGAAATGGAGAAGAAGAAACCTTTAACAAACAGTTATCAAAGTAAAGAAGTAGATAGAACCAATGGCGAATATAAAAATAAGAAACAAGCGTATTTAAACAAACTCAACAACAAAGAAATAAAAGAGCCGAAGTCCTCCACTATGGCATTTTATCAAATTGACTATGACGAGGAAACGCAACTTTATTCATAAAGTTGCATTTACTCATTGAAAACTAAACATAGTTTAGTTTTTAACGAGGAAGCAGGGATTTATTAATAGATAATATTATCTAAATATCTTTAATAATGAACTTATTAGAGATGTTTAGCGGAACAGGTAGTGTTGGACTTGTTGCAAAGTCGCTCGGTTTCAATGTTATTTCATTGGATTTGAAAGATGCTGATATAAATACTGATATTTTGAAATGGGATTATAAACAATTTGATAGGAACCATTTTGATTTTATCTGGGCAAGTCCTCCATGCACGGAATACAGCAAAGCAAAAACTATGGGGATTAGGAATATCGAATATGCAAATAGTATAGTTTTAAAAACTATTGAAATTATCAAATATTTCAATCCTAAGTATTTTGTAATCGAAAATCCCCAGTGACGTTTTCGCAATGCGGTTTCCTCAATGTGATTTTCACAATGTGGTTTTCGTATAGGGGTATGTGGTTTTCACATAGGAGTATGTGGTTTTCACATAGGGGTATGTGGTTTTCACATAGGGGTATGTGGTTTTCACATAGGGGTATGTGGTTTTCACATAGGGGTATGTGGTTTTCACATAGGGGTATGTGGTTTTCACATAGGGGTATGTGGTTTTCACATAGGGGTATGTGGTTTTCACATATGTGGTTTTCACAGCAATACAGTAGTTTTCTCTTAACCATACGATAATAATAACATGTAAAATCTTATATGTTATAATTATACTATACTTCTGGTTTGTAAAGATTGAAATATTTTATTATTCCTAATTTGGTTATCTCTTTCAAAGTGCGTTGTTTGAACTTGGTATGCTCTTTTGATTTTTTTCGTGCTTTGGCTGTTTGTTTTTATTTTGTTTGATACTCTTCTGATATTTTTTGTTGGTATGTTGCTTTGTTTTTTGTTGATGTGTGTGTTTGAGTTTGGGTTCTTTGATGGTTTTTATTTTTGCTGTTTTGTTGGCATGCTTGTTTGAATTATTTAATGTTGTATGCTGTGATTAAATATTTATGTTGCTGGTTGTGATTATTTATTTTGTTTGCTTGTTGTTCTGGATTTTGTTTGCTTGTTGTTCCGGGGTGAAAGTTAGGGGCACTTTTTTGTCTCTCCCACGAGCAGAAGGCGTTTTTGGAAGGGTGCCTGGAAGATCCATTCCTCTTCGTCGTCAGGTGCCACAGGGAGGGTATCCCCCGTTTTCCGGTGGCAGAAGGCGCCAAGGTCCAAGAAGGGTATCCCACGGTTTTGACTCGAGCGGCAGGCGTATTGGGCCTGGCAGCAGGCCACAGGCGTTGCCAAGGAGACTGCCTGGCAGCGGTTGGTGGGCACCATGCGGGACCGGGAGGCGGATGAGAAGCTCTTTCAGGGGATCGCCTCAAGGGCGTGCAAGGAGATGCATGGAAAGGAGTGCCAGGAGCAGCTCGGTTTCGAGAAGCGCCAGCCGAAGTTTTCGACCTGGGTTTTCCAGGCAATTTTTGGTTTGCCTGATTTGTGTGGCCCCAGAAGGTGAACCTAGTGCTGGGTCCTTTGGGCAAGTGAGTTGCTCAAAACCCGAGATGAAGGTTGGTAAGGGACGATCCCAACCATAGCTTTGGCCGCCTTCTTAATTCCTTACATGGTTCTGGGTAGACCACGTTAGTCCGGGTTTTGATTGTGACTCAAGTGAGGCAACTGCTCAGCACTCGCCGGGAGATCAATGACCTGGAGTGCCACTATCAGCTGGTGCACACCTTCCACGCCCACTGCCCCAAAGCCCAGAGCCACCACGCCGCTGGGGGCTGGAACGGCTACAACATGAAGTTCTCCCAGGCGGTGGTCAAAACCGTTTTGGCTCGGATCCCATTTTGGTAGGTGAATTCACCACCAAGATTTTAGAGCCTATTTTAGTGGTTGGATGGGGTCCCGTAACCACTGGGGATCACCGATTTGGCTTTTGACCCATGGCCAGGTCTTGGTCAACCTCTGCGAGGCTCCAGGTTTGGACACTCAGCGGTTGGTGCAGATCGTGCAGGAGCAATGCGCGCTGGCCCGGAAGAGCCCTACTGAGCTCGTGGTCTGAGGTCTGAGGTCTGAGCTCGCTGGATTTGAAGCATCTGTGCAGAGAACTTATGACAGAAGCCTGTCGATTTAATATCTATGTGTGATTTGCTTTTCTGTGCTTGGCACAAGCAGATCAAATCAATACAGGAGCAGCTTCAGACAGCAAGCAAGACTGGATCTGGAGCAGGAAAAACACATACCACTTTGCTGCTCGTTGGGCAGTACAAGTGCTCTATCACCTCCACACCGCCAACACACATACCTGAAACTGCTCGTTGGTTTTCTCCGACCCCTTTTCCACGGGAAGCAGAACAAAAACAAACACGTGGGACGTCACTCAGGCGACGCGTAAGAAGATCACCCGCACCATCACGGACCTCTCCGCCAAGCGGAGCGTGGCCGACATGGTGGGGGCCTCGTTTGGGGGCGTTGGGATTCCTTTTTTTGGGGGGAAGGGGCCCATTGGGGGGTTCTGGCCATCTCTTGCTTGGCAACAAAGGTACCACTTCGCCCTTTTTCTATCAAGGCAGTCTTGGTCCAAAAAAAAATTGAGGTGTTGACAGTTGCCCAGTTGCCCAGTTGCCCAGTTGCCCAGTTGCCCAGTTGCCCAGTTGCCCAGTTGCCCCCTTTGGTTTCGTGCAGAAGAAAGGTGCCACTACCAGTTTGCTTAATCTTGCTACAGTTCAAGTCTATCTGCAAGCAGTCATAGTCAGGGAGGATTTCCAAGACGGAGATGCAAGAGGAAAGTCCCACTCAGACTCGCAGTCAGACTCACACTCCCCTTGGTCGGTGCACTCAGATTTGGATCAGTTTCCATCAGTTTTGGCCAGGCAAAAGCCTGACCCTAGGAAGCCTAAGGGGCCCCTCGCCCCAAAGAAAACAGAAACAACCAAAGGTAGACTTTCCTTTGAAACCGATCCCGAAGAGGTCCCTCTGAACAACACACCCCATAGCATTCCTGGGTATGCCGGTATGCCCTCAGAACAAGGTTTAGGTTTCCGCACCCTGAACCACGCGCCCTTAAAGCGCTCACAGGCCCTTTGGGGCCAGAGCAAAAGAGAGAGGTTGCCACTTCCATAGTTACCCCAGAGGAGAGCCATGGACGAAATCCTGCACCGCCTCAGAAACCCTAGAATGATGATTCCCCTGTAGATACCAACAAACAATAGTTTGCCATGGTTTCCAAGTGGTGCAGGATTTCCTCCATCCACAGTAGCAACCCTGGGCCCAACTTGAATTCCTGAACTGCCCTGGCCTGAAGTACAGGGGACTGAAGTGCTTGGGCCACGTTTTTCTTCAAGCACTTCGTGCGGGGTTCCCAACCATTTGGCGAACCGACCCACCGCTCGGGGGTCAAAGGAGCAATCCATGGCTTGTTTTTTTTTTGGTCCCCCGTTTTTCTTCTTCTTCTTCTTCTTCTGAGTTATCGAGTAGTTTTCATTTGGTAGAACACACAAAGACGAAACACACAGATGTTCTGAAGGTGGGGATCCAATTCTTTTTTCAGGCTTGGAATTGAAGAACAAGCCCAACATTGGGAGTCCGAAAGTGGCGTTTGACTCCCTCGGGGTGCCGATGGAAAATATTTCTTGAATCCTTGCAACTCAAGTTTCGTCATTCGATGTCCACCCATTTTTGCCTTGAACAAACAAACAACTCCAAGCCGCCTTTTGGGTGTCCCTTGAAAGAAGCAACTGAAAGCAAACCTCCAAGGCCGACACTTCCGAGAAAAAGAATATATAAAAACAAACAACAACAACCAAAACTAAGAGAACAAAAACAACAACAACAACAGCAACAACAACAACAACAGCAACAGCAACAGCCACAAAAACCAACAAACAAAAGAAACGGAGGGGGCGGGCGGGGGGGGGGGGGGAAAGGCGAAACCTGGGAGCCTCAGCCCGAGCTTCGGCTTCTCTGCCGCTGCTGTGGGCTCCAGCGCTGGCGGTTTCGTCTCGTGGCCGTTGGGTCGTTTTCCAAGCGGAAGGAAGACATCGAAGGACGTTGGGAGCCAGTTTGTTGTTGTTTTTTCGTGCTTCTTTTTTTTTCTCATAGAATTTAGTTGTATTTTATTTGGGGAAAGTCTTGAAGTCTTTTGAAAGAGCGACATTCCAAAGCGAGTCCAAGAGAGCTTTCGTTTTGAAGCAATCACTCCAACAAGAGAAACTGCTTCTTAGAGGAGTCTTCAAAGTCGGCGAAGAAGGAGTATTCTCTCAGAGAACACGGAAAGCAAACGAAAATCCCGACGAGCATTTGGAGATTGTTCAAAGAGTTTCAACTTTTATCGGGTCTGACAAAAGCCTCCCACGCGTGGTTCCACATCCGACGATGTGCCCCCGCATGAAGGATCGCGACACGAGGAGGGGGCGGGTCAAAGGGTTCGTGGGTAGTTGGGTCTCCGTTGCCAAGTTGGTTGCCTCGGTTGTAACTCACTTATAAGTCCCCCTTCAGCAGTGGGGTTAGCCTTGTGAAGGGTTTACCCCAAGTGGCTTTCCACTTACTAACTTGGGGGATTCGAAAATCCCTTCGTGCAAAACCGAGGGAACAAAGGGCTGACTCCGAGTGACCCAAGAGGACCTTTTACCGGACGGACTTTCTGAGTGCCAGCCTCTTTCAGGAGGCTAAGGGTTTTTGGGGTCCCCCCCAAAGTTGGCACGGTGAATGTGGGAACGGAATTTCGAGTCCCCGTTCGATCCTTTTGGTTGCTACGGTGTTTTTTGGCCACAGGACGTCCCTCCCGACGATCTCGGAGCAGGGCCCCGATACAACAGGAGGCCGGCCTTGGCGGTTTTGGTCTAGCACGCTTGCGCGGAACTGTCTCTCGTTTTTTTTTGGGGGGGGCCGCGTGAAATGGCGGTTTCCTTTTGGTTCCTCTTTACAACCACCAAAAGTAGGGTACCGTACAACACACACATATGGAGAGTTGGTGGAGCTGTGCAGAGCTTGGGTCTTGGGCGCTCCAACGGCCTCGAGAGAAAGAAGCACCGTTTGCCTCAATGGGGTTGCCCAGGTTGAGGCAAGCAACAGATGAATCTTGGCGCAGAACTGCGAGCCATTTCCCGCTGAAAACAACAGGCTTCCGCCAGGTTCCATTGAGGGGAGGAGGGTGGTGCCGGCGGTGGTTTCTGTGCCTTCCCGAAGCCCGGGGGCAAAATGGCACAAAACCGGTGTGGAGACTTTCCTCCAAGCTTCCAAGCCCCTCGAAGTTTCCAATCCTCAAAGCTTGGCGGTTCCCAGCCGTCCGGTTCCTTAGCTTGTCACTTGTTTTGAGTTGGTTTCCATTTAGCCGACTAAAGGCTAAACTTTTAGCCGGAGATCTAAGGACCAGGAAAGAGGTTGAAGGTGCCGAACTTGAAAACTCATGCCACAGCTTTGTGCTGAATGGCTGAAGCTTCCCTAGGTGAAACGGACGCCACAGATCATTGGTTTCTCATTGGTTTCTCTATGGGTGTGGGTAGATAGGAGCCCAAAAAGGGAACCCTGGAAGATGGAAACAAAGGCTAAAACCAGCGGTCTCATTTTCTTTTAGAACGGACTTTGAAGGTGTGGCGCCTAGCTAAGTTCTGTCCGCCTAAAGCCAAACGACTTGGGTTCCTCCGCTTTCCTGCTTGCAAGGGGCCGGGTATTTCGTAAGTGGTTGGGAAGAATGGTTATAACCCACCAAAGCCATGATTCTCAGTCTCCGAAGTGGGTTGTGTTTTTTGGCGGGCAAACCACTTCGATCGCTTGTGTGGAACTTCCCTTTCCGGAAGTCCCTCAGCGAAGCCGCGAAGCATTAGGTGAGCTCGAGAAAGACTCGCCACGACTTTCTGATGGCACCGTCACCTCCGTAGGTGGGGGGAGATGTTAGACACGTGGAACCACGGGCAGGGGTGTCTTATTTTTTTTTCCGGGGTGCGGGTGAAGGGGCCGGCGCAGATCAGGTTGCCCGAAAATTGGTGGTTTGGATTGGTGGACATTTGAACCCTTGGTGTGTTTGTAGAGGGTAAATGGGACACCACCCCTAGACCGCCAAACCACCAATCCACCCCCCCCCATTTGGAGGGAAACTGATTCAAGGTGCAAAAACTGTGCCCTCACGGCCGTATGGGGGAAGACGGGAATGGGCCTGTTAACCCAATGATGCTTCTTGGTTTTCGTTGCCCGCCCTGCGAGCCACGGAGGTTGTTGTTGTTTTTTGACAGGCCAAGCAAATGAATCGCTTGACTTGCTGGACGTTTTCAGAAGGACGTCGAAAGTTCATGCTTCCCAGCCGTCCGGTTCCTTAGCTTTTTTGCTTTTTGGTGTTTAGGGGGAGTTTTATTTACCCCACTGAAAGTCAACCGTTTAGGGGGGATCTGAGGACAGCCCAGGAAAGAAAACCAAACACTTGCCGAGGAGCCCAAATCGAGGGCTGTCGGATATTTTGACCGAACCGCACGTGGACTGGACCAAAATCCAAGACTTGTCCCGTGCAAAGGCAGGGCTGAAAATTATTCCATGTTGATCTCTCGGCTTTCCCCTTTGGGCTTTTAGCCTTCGGCTTGCTTCGGCCATGGCCACACGTCTGCGGACATGTGAAGTGGGCTGCGCCGCTGGGAGTCTGCCAGAGTTGTTTCCACGGGAGGGTTTGGAAGACTTTTCTTTGGGAACTGCCCCGTCCACTTCTTTTCGGAAGCACCAGAGAGAAAAAAAAGAACATTTGCATAGGTTCCATAGGGCTCTGACATGTCCTACCACGGGTTGCTCAGAGCCTCAGATAAAGAGCTTCTTTCGAATGGCTTGGTTCTGTTCGATTCGGTTCTATGTGGGAGCAATGAGGGCATGGAATCCCTGCGTCGCGTGCCCATAGGCCTTAGACCTGCTCGAGACCCAGGACCTAAATAGGAGTTTCAACCCTAACGAAAGGGGTTCCCCTCCCCAACCTGTTACACTCACTCCCTGAGTTCACGGACCTTTTTTTTGGGGGGGGAAGACCATTTTAGTGGCAAACTGACAGTTCAGACTTTCAACACGTGGACTTTCCTCCCTGCCACTACTTGCTTCTTTTTCTTGTTTCTTCACATACCCGGACCACCCAAACATGTACGGTGTTCTTCCCGTTCTTTCGGACGGTCCGGTACTCTGTTGCCCAGTGGTGCCTTTTTCATTTTGGGTAAGGCTTCCTATTTTTTCCAGAAAAACTCCACCAACCCAAAAATCGGGTGCCGATTTTCCTTTGTTCCCCAAATCCACCGGGCATCCGAGGGTCGTTGGCTGGGGATCGACAAGCGTCGCAGGCAGCCGGCTGCATCCGCAGTGCACCCCCTGCGTCTTCATGGCCCTTACCGCGGGGGGCGGGTCGGTGCGGTGCAGCGCGGGCATCAAATGCGTCTTGGTTTGCCGCGGCTTTGGTGGGTCATGCTTCATTTGATCGAAGAGCTCCTTTAGAAACTTTCTAGGGGGGTAGGGGTGGGAGTCCGATTCTGTTGCTCCTATTTCATGAGGGTTATGGTTATGGGTTATGGGTTATGGGTTATTCTTTATAGATTATGGGTTGTGGTTTATGGGCTGGTTATCCCAGTTGCAACCGGTGCTTTGTGGTGGCCTCCTTTTTTCAACTCTATTTGCCAGGGCAGGCTATGGCGACAAATTTTGAACCCGATCAAAAATTAAGTATCCTCCAAAGATTGGTGATGGGTTATGCTTCATGTACCAGGGCAAGCCATTTATCCAGTTGCAACCGCTGATTTTTTGCTTTCTTGTTCATTTTTTTTTTTCCTGGGAAGGGTTCCTTTTTCCCTTCAAAGTCACCCAACCAGAAAATCGGGCGCCGATTCTTTTCTTCCCCCTGGCCGGGCTCCTCTGCGGGTGCTTCATTCACCAGGGTAAGCCATTTCACCAGGCGGTCCATATCCTGGTGACTAATTTTGACCCGAGAACCAACATGGGGAGCCAACAATTTTTCGATACCTACTTCGGTTATGCTTCATTTACCAGGGCAAGCCATTGTGGGTTTACCTATTCTTGACCCACAGTCGTTGGATCTGATTTTGGGCACAGCCAGCCGCAGTGTTTTTTGGCCCACACATGACTCCCCGTTCGGGAGATCACCCACGGACCCATTTTTCGAAATGACGATGCGGAGTCATGGTTGGACAACCCACTTGGCTATCACAGAGGCAATCCCTCCGTTTTTTGTTGTTGTTTCTTTTTTCCGCGTCGAGCCTGGCGGTTGCAGTTGTTTTTTTTTTGGGAGGGAAGGGGGGCCCGAGTCTTTTTCTTCTCCTAGGCTTGGCGCGGCCGTTTTGCTGCGTGGTGCTTGGGTTTTGGCTCGGCCGGTCTGTGTCCCAGTCAGTCGGTTGCCCCGGCCGGTCGGTTGGTCAGTCTCTCAGTCGGTCGGTCGCCCCGGTCGGTCGGTCAGTCAGTCTGTCTGTCGGTCGGTCGGTGGATTGGTCGGTGGATTGGTCGGTCGGTCAGTCCCTAAACCGGCCCTGAGCCAACCCCTAAACCAACCCTAAACCAGCCTCAACCACCCCCAAAACAACGTAAACCAACCCTAAATCAACCCTAAACCACCCTAAACCAACCCTAAACCAACCCTAAACCAACCTAAGCCAGCCCACCAACTAAATCAACCCTAAACCAGTCCTAAACCAGCCCTAAACTACCCTAAACCAACCCTACACCAACTCTAAACCAACCCTCCCTAAGCCAGCCCAACCCTAAATTAACCCTGCGTCTTTGAACAAGTGAACCT